CGAGATATATTATTATTAATATATTTATTAATTAGACTATTATTATTATCATTAATGTTATTATTATTAGTAGTAGTAGTAGCAGTAGTTGTTGTAGTTGTAGTAGTAGTGGCAGCTACAGTAGAAGTAGTAGCTGTGATGTTGTTGTTGTTGTCATCATCATTATCATCATTGTGGCTGTTGATGTTGTTGTTGTGGATGTTGTTGTTATGAGTGTTATTGTTGTTATAGAACTGTGTATACATAAGTATGTTGTGCTTGAAATTAATGTTAATATTCGCATGTAAGTTATCGCTATTGCTGTAGTTATTATTGTTGTTGTTATTGTTGTTGTTGTTATTGTTGTTATTGTTATTGTTGTTGATGTCTTCGTCGTAACGCTTGAGCAAGGCTTTCTTGAAATTATTTCTGAATAATAACCAACAATGTTAAATGGATATCACGATATTATGATATCATAATTAACAACGAAGTTAAATGAATAGATTGATATCATTATATCAACCAACAACGTTAAATAAATAGATTAGTATCAGTATATCATAATTATCAACAACGTTAAATAGATACAGTGATGGATATCATATCATAAGTATCATCGACCTATTATAATAATATTGTTAATATCGTAAATTATCATGGAAAAACACCTTGAAATGGTTTTGTTGTTGTTGTTGTTGTTGTTGTTGTTGTTGTAGTTGTTGTTGTTGTTATTGTTGTTGTTGTTGTTACTCTCGCCATCATCTCCGTCGTAATTGATCTTGTTCAACTTTGACAAAAACGATGATGATGATGATGATGGAGAAGGTGATGATGACGATGGTGATGATGACGATGGAGAAGATGATGATGACGATGATAATGATTCTACTTCCGTCTTTACCCAATTGGAATACTTAAATCTATCGTTCAAAATGATATTATTGTTAATATTGTTGTTGATGTTGATGTTGTTGTTGATATTGATGTAGTTGTTGTTGATGTTGTTGTTGTTGATGTAATTGTCCATCCCATCAACCTTTTTAACATCAATTTCGCACTTTATATAGTCAACAGTTACAGCATCGTCGCCATTTAACATCGTCGTCCCTTCAGATAGTTCACTTTTTAATACATTTACGCAGTTGATGTTGTTGTTGTTGATGTTGCAGTTGTTGATGTTGCAGTTGTTGATGTTGTTATTGAGGATGATGTTGTTGATGTTTACCTTTGCTTTTTTTCTAGAACTTTCTATAAAAATATCATCACAATCGGATGAATTTAACGCCAGTATCTCGTTCTGATCCGAAACTAAATATAAATTGTTATTATTATTTCGCTTTTTCCGTCGATGTAGCTGTTGTTGTTGTTGTAGTAGCTGTTGTTGTTGTTGTAGTAGCTGCTGTTGTTGTAGTAGTTGTTGTTGCTGTTGCTGCTGCTGGTCACGATGATGATGATGATTTTGTAGTTGGTGATGTCGATAGATGCACATGTCAGAAAAATAGCCAGATGTTGAGGACGGCAACGATGGTAATGTTGTTGTTGTTGTTGTTGTTGTTGATGATGGTGATGATGATGCTGATGATGATGATAATGGTGTAATTACGTCATTTAATATTGGCGGGAAAATATTTGAATAACCAGAATTTGTCAGTTTCAACAGCTTACAAATTTCGTTGAGGTTGAAACTTCTCGAGATTGATTTTGGGGCTATTCTGATGTTTTCGGTTTTTGGTTGCTCGTAGAAATATTGTTGTGGTTGTTGTTGTTGCTGCTGCTGCTGCAGCTGCTGTTGCGGCGATTGTTGCTGCGATTGTTGCTGCGATTGCTGTTGTTGTTTCTGTGACATTAAAATCATTTGATCTTGCAATAGTTGTTGTAATAGTTGTTGATGATGTTGTTGCTGTACTGATGTTAGTGTCGGAAATTGTTGTTGTTGTTGTAATAATGTTGATGTTGTTGTTGCTGCTGGTGTTGCCGAAATGTTGCCAAAATTTTTTAATAAATTTTCAATCATCGAACTGTCGAGGATCAACAAACCGTTGCTACCGCTGTTGCCGATGTTGTTGTTGATGTTTGTGTTGATGTTGTTGTCTTTGTTGATGCTGATGTTGTTGTTGATGTTGTTGTTGTTGTTGTTTTTATCTTTTCTAAGCGGTAATATTATGCCTTGTTGTTGATGCAGTCTCAATAACATTGCAGTATTTTCGTCCAAGTTGTTTGTCATTGTAATGTTGTTGTTGTTGTTATTGATGTTGCTGTTGTTGTTATTGATGTAGTTGCTGTTACCATTGATGTTGTTTTTATGTTGT